TACCATAATATTACGAGGTATCATCGATACTTTGCTTGAAAATACTTTGAATTATTTTTTTTCGATTTTACTCCGAGACTTGGTCGATACTTGGCGTTGAAACACTGCGACTGGTGACTGTCTCATTCTTGTTCGATTGATTGACGATGTTCTTACGATACTTGACATATTAATATTCTGTCCGATACCTGCCTCATAATTTTACGATAATATTACGAGGTATTACNACTTGACATATTAATATTCGATTATTGATGCTCCTGCAATAGTTCTGCGTCATCTCCCAAAGTTAGCTCACACTATATACAAGTAATTCTCATTCCTCCGTTTTAAACCTATCAGGGCCATCTCCCATGTATATCATCAACTGACTTCGTCGATAGGGAAGACTAAGTTGACAATATTACTACGTTTCACCCTCTTGTATTTACGTGTGTGTTCAGTTGCCGAATTTACCAGATCTGTGGTCAGTTGCAGATGTGTTCAGTTGAGTGTGTCCAGTTGCACCCGTCCCCATAAAAAAAAGGCCAAAATTTAGAAGATCAAAGCTTTGACGAGGGGTCGATTAGGGATCACTAAAACCTCAAAAAAGCTTTAAAAAGCTCGGATAATACTAAGGAAAATTTAAAAAAAAAATAAAGAACTCTGAAAATTCCTTCAATTCTTCCAAACACCGGAATTACTCGCCACATTGTGTATTTTGATTAAAATTGAGTTCTCGCAACGATCTAGACTTAAATAATCAGATAAATTTGCTAAACCCATCCCCCGACGGTCGATAACGACAAAAAATATCAAAAATGAGAATGGAATTCCACTTGTTGTACATACTCTGTGTTCACTAATATAAATGTCACTTTCCTTCTGAAGCAAGAGAATAAAAACCATCAATTAGAAGTATTGAGATTGCACTTCGTAAAATTGAGATGAACAAGACAAATCTAATGAATAAATTCGGAAATTGCAATTTCTAAAGAAAAAAATGGAATTGAGGGAAAAAATGGCTTTTTAGGAAAAAATGAATAATGAATGTAAGAAACAAAATTAATTTGACGGGTAACGAAAATGTTTTAAAATGTATAGAAAATTGTTACAATATACTCTTCTGATGATGAACATGAAATTGAAGAATAGTATCTTACGTTACAAATGCATAAAGTGGGGGGATATAGGCGAGTGGTGCCTACGAAGTGGAACTGCCTACACTTCACTCGCCTCACCTGCGGCTCGGCTCGTTGCGCTGCTGTCGTGTACAGTGGACTCTGGTTAGAGTCGACTGTTTTGCGGGATAGAGGAAGCGATTTCGGAGAATTCGACTCTATTTCCCTGCTCCCACTACGCGCTCACGCCGAGTCCGACTTCCGAGAACTGGGCTACGATAAAATGAAAAATACTATTTCTTTTCTCTCTCAATTCAACACTTTATTTTAATGATAAACTTTATTTCACAGCTTCAACTATAATAGCAATATTCATATAGATTCAGACGATTTTGTTATTATCAATATTTTTAATTTCATTAACTATATTTGATCACAGAAGCTTTGTACCTAACATTCCATAGAACAGATATTTCTTCTGGAGTTAACGAACCATGTGAATCAAAAATGTTACAGTCGTTTTCTTTACCTCGCTTCATTATTTTATTTAATCCAATTTCGAATTAATTTTATGCCAACAAAACGAGATCCTCCCCCCATGACAGCCAGAAGTGGACTAAATTTTTTGATCGACAATTCAAATGCAGAATATTTTATTTTTCGTCTTTACTGGAATCGGAAGACAATAGCAATTTGAAGAAAATATTGGAGTGTTTACTCAGCGGCTTGGGTTGGGACAGAGTGGGGGAAGCGCTCGAGCGGTGAGACAAAAAAATTGAGGGGAAGTTCGACACTAACCAATATGCCTCTAACCAGAGTCCACTGTAGTCTACCGCTCGACCTTGCGTAGCCTATCCCCCCACTTTATGCACGTGTAAAGCACACGATTTTTTTAAAAAAAGCTGTATGAAGAAGTCCTCAAATGTATGCGAAAATGTATCAAATCTACCCACAAAAGAAAACTTCTTTGAATCAAAAAACCGGCTTTATCTGAAAATCATAATTATTCATTTGAGAATTTTTTTTTCTCATTTGAGGAAAATTCAGTTGTAGTTTATAAAGTATCTATGAGGATTAATCATGACAGAATTGATTAATTTTCAAAAAAAATCAAAACGAGGAAAACTGCAAATAAAGACAAAATTTCATTTCCTAAAGTTAGTGATTAGAAAAGTTTCCTGAAATTGATCTAAAAAAATTTAAGTTTCCTGAAATTGATTTAAATAGAAATTAACAAATATACTGCTTCGCAATGATCAAGCATGCAGCCTGAGTGACCGTTGTGAACGCTGTGACACGAATTATACACCAACACTAATGCACGACGAGCCGTAGACCGATGTTTTTAGTCAAAACAATCGTTGGGAGAAATACGGCACGTGATTGGTCAGAATCCCCACGACTAGGCTGGCCTTCGGTGTGTGACATGGCGGCACTGCTAAGAGGCCTCAAAATAACGTTTAAAAAAGTGGCTTTTTTTAACAAGATATAAAAAGTGTACTTTCTTACATTGCTTTTCTTCACACGTTAAAAAAAGTAGTTTTTGGACACTACCCCACTGTGCTCCCAACTGTGATACGTTGGAGACGCGAGTTGATAACTTTAGAATATGAATAGTGATTGCTAAAAAGCAATATAAGTATGATAAACGCTCTGACACCCGCCTCTTTGTCTTAGCTACCCCGCTTTGCCCCGGTCTCCCCTATATTGAATTTCCAGGTTCAATGAAAATACCAAAGACAGCTAAATAAAAAAAATGTTTACATGCAGCAATGGTATCTAAGTTGGATCAGAGTGTGGGTGAAGTTGTGGCAGCTCTCCGTAGAAGAGAAATGCTGCCGAATAGTATCATTCTATTTGTGGCTGATAATGGAGCCCCCACGTTCGGTCCTCATCACAATGCTGGGAGTAATTACCCTCTACGTGGGGTGAGATTTTTTTTAAATAACGGTTTTAGTAATAATCTTTTCAATATATAACTCAGAGATTATAAGGGAGATTGCTAGCGCCTATGGAAACGCTTCAACCGCAAAATTTCGTAGCGGTGGCGCAGAACTAGTTTTGAGTATGTACCTGTAAGTAAAACAGAGAGCGTGTGAGAGCGTCGATAACAGCGCAGAGTGGAGGAGAACGCGTATGGGGGAATCGGCGGGCGGAGCGAGCGGTGATGTTCGCTGTCGAGTAGGTGAGGGAAACCTACCGCAGTTCGAAACGCCGACGGACGGCGGAATCCTGCCCTTAAAATAACAATTAATTTCTCCTTCCCTAATGAGGACGAAGGGATGAAACGGTTGCCAATCGATTGAAAATTGATCTCCTGTTTGCGATCTGTTTTATCCCTTCATCTCAATTAGAGGGGGAGAAACTAATAGNTTGAATCCTCAACCGATTGCAGTCGTTTCATCCCTTCATCTCAATTAGAGGGGGAGAAACAGATATTTAGGAATGGAGTGAGTCTCCAAACGGCTCTCCCCATTGAAAAATCCATTTCTCCTCCCCCAGCAGAGATTAAGGGATGAAACTGGTGACAATCGATTGAGAATTGGATCCTCAACCGATTGCGGTCGTTTCATCCCTTCATCTCA